GAGATACCATCTATATATTGCATTGTGTCCCTACCACGAAAGTCAATCAAATCTTATTTGGGTTCTCTTTCAGAGAAAAAAGAGACAAAATGCTATAGTTTTATAAGTTCCTCTTCATCTTTCAATGCCTGGCTCATATCTTATCTTCAGTTTTCCAGGATTTATAAAGGGTTGATTTAATTGCTGTTTTCCCTGTTTTCTGGTAGCATTTTGCTGGAACAACTTCTATTCACACTTTAATTACCCTTCCTTTCATCTCCTCAGCTAGCCTGTCATTTTCTCTCAGGTACAGCACAAAGGGTTCTCAGTAAGTGTTTAATCAATTAAATAAAATTGAATTTAAAGATTAAAAAATAAAGAAAAGGAAGAAAAAATCTGACATTGATGCAATAAGAGGAAAAATTAGAGTCTATAAAAATTGTTTAGTTACTTCACAATGATAAAGGGTTTTCAAATGCATATTTCAATTATTTTTCCTCATAGCTTTAAGGAAAACATGTAGCATAAGGAAGTCAGAAAGAAAAGCTTTGGATTTAGAAGTCCTATATATTCTCTGGCCAAAAGTTTCCTCATCTGTGAAATGAAGACTAAAATAATACCCATTGCTACAAAAGCATGAAAGTCAAAGGAGAAAATAAATGTTAATTTAAAGCTTTATGCACCTTTTCCAACCATAAATGGGAAAACTAAGGCTCTGAGGAATTGACTGACCGACTTAAGGCTTTAAAGCTAAAAAGTGGTACAACTAGGATCCCTAAGGCTACACTCCTTCCCTGACGCTGCCCAGATCATGTACCCCATTCCCAAATGCTTGGTCCCCACCTACTGCATTCTGGCCCCACGCCAGTCTCACCAAAATGCCTCATTTATTTATTCTATGTGCTGGGGATGCCTGCTTTAAAAAGTCCCATTCTTTTCCAACCCTACATTCTGTTAGTCAGAGAAAATATGATAAATTATTAGGCACCCTCTTTTATTAGTTACATATGACCGTCCTCTAGTGAGACAAAATATATTTAATCTGGACCAAGCGCCTCTGGTGCTTAAAGCAGGTTTCTTAAACCCTTTTTTTCCTATGGACTGTGATCTTTTGAGGCCCTTCTTAGAGCATGCTCTTTAATAGTGAAAAGCATAGGTTTAAGAGGGAAACCACCTATATCATCCAAATAGTTACAAAACTAACTTCAAGATATACTAATATCTGTGCATCTTTTTTGATAGACTAAGTAACATGTTATAGCAACAGAGCTAAAACTTCCCTAATTTTGAAGTAGTTTGAAAACTGGTGAATTTTGAAAACTATATTAATCAAGTGATAAACTAAAACTATAATTAGTTCAATAGATCTATAATAACTAACAAATGTAATACGAAAACTATTTTCTTTCTATTGGTGACAAAAATCACAGGCACTGCTAATACTATTGAGGTTTGTTGTCCATATTCATACATTTTTTAAATGCTATATTTATTTTAGTGGTTAGTGAAAATAAACATCTGATTCTTTTTCCATCTCAGTTTAAGGACCCTTTGAACTCTGTCCGGAGACACCCCTTCCCTACCCACTGCCCACTAAGTTATGAACCCTACTCTGGTAACACGGGGGACATTTGAGTCTTTTCATGCCTGCCCACTAGACTTTGCAAGTAACCTGTAGGGGGCTCCTTCTGCCTTCTACCGAAAATCTGTCATGTTTTGACAATGCTGGCAATTGTTCTAGATTACAGTATCCCCCCTCATTCATGGGGATACATTCCAAGACCCCCAGCAGAAGCATTAAGCTGCTGCTGGTACCAAACCTTAGGAATATATTATGTATTATGTGTATTCTAATGACTAATAATAAAATAGGACAATTATAACAATATCCTGCAATGAAAGTGAAGTGAATATCTCAACCTCTCTCCCTCTTTCTCTCTCCAACTGATCTGACAACCAAGATGGCTGCTAAGTCACTAACGGGAGGTGGTATACCCAGTGTGGATACACTGGACAAAGGGGTGATTCGCATCCTGGGCAGGACAGAGTGGGATCGCATGAGACTTTGTCACATTACCCTGAATGGTATTTAAAGGGTTTACTTCTGGAGTTTTTCCATGTAATATTTTTGAACTAATGATGACTGTGGGTAACAAAAACCTCAGAAGGTGAAACTGTACATAAGAGCGACTTCTATATTCTCTTAAATCTTGGATATGTATGTTAAAGTAGCTAGATAACAGGAAATGTTACAAGTATATATAATATAAAAGTGCATTAAAAACTTCAGTATACACTGTCTTGTATTCTAAAGTCAGACATGTTGTAACATAGTGTCATGATGAAACACTCAAGCAAAATCAATTATTTGCTCTGTGGACTTTTTAAAAATGCATGGCATATAATTATAAGGCCAAGAAGAAAAAAAAGCTTCTTTTAATTTCCTATTATTTATTCAGCACACCAAAGAATTAGCTAGCTCTTGTCTTAAAGATTTGCTCACCATTTATTCAATATATTTCCAGGATAAATGATGGCAGTATACTTCTTTAAAAAGGAGAGTTATTTTTTAAAACCCTATTTTAGCATTAACTACACCCTGTAAAACTAATAGTGCATTTAATCTGTTTGGAGGGGTTTGTGCCATAAATGCTAACTGTACTGCTAAACATTTCATTCTGACTTCTTTTTCATTTTGATCATCAGTGACATTTCTTCCTGGCTTGTAGAGAAATATATATGCTGAGAATTAGAGGTAAGAATAAAAGTACTATATAATATGTAATTTTATTAAATAGACTCCTTTAAAAATTTATATTCATATTCAAAGCAAAATATGAATAGCTATAAAGAAATAATGTTTATTGGATTTTTGGATGCTAAACTTCTTAAAGTAGAGATGGCTTAAGTTAGCAATTATATTTTAAATGATAAACATACATCTTTATATTCTAATCACCAAAAAAAGAAATCAACCCAACTAAGATTTTAAAAATAAGATGATCTCCATATTTCTTCTAAAATATTTGGTGACAGAAGTGGCAATTTTTTCATTAAAAAATATCATTCATCTTTTACTATTTGATTAAATGTTGAAAAACAGAAATTAGGGTCACTGGTAAGTTTAGAAAATTATTTTAAAATTTTCAAGCAGTTTATGCAAATATTGTAGTTGATCATTTCAATTCTCAGCTATGGCATCATTCACTTGCTTATAAACTAAAATCAGCTTTATATATATAACAGCACTATTGAAAACACAGGGAAGTAATGTATGCATAGTCAAGTGTCTGAGAAAAGAAAGTAAAGATACTAAAAGGAAACAATAACATATCATCTTGTAAGAACTTGTATTAAGTGCATTGGTCTGCCCTTTCCCCCTGCCTTGGAGGTAAAAAAAAAGTCAACAGCCAATTGAAACGATGAAACTAATAGACTCCCATAATTTATACACACAATTTCACAAGTTTTCTCAAGGTTATACAGGTTAAGTAACTCTGTTATTCTTTGGAAATGTGTTGTCAAGGCTGAGGGCACAGACTACAGTAGCTTTCTTGTTTCTTTTTTTTCCCATAAGAAGTTACATAGAAAGAAAATAATCACTTTTAATATTCATAAGAAATAAATGATGTAACTTTAGAAAACCACAAACCCTTTTCTGAAATTTCATTTTATGTTTATGAATAAAACTTCAAGCCTTATCTAATTCTCCATTAGATTTATATCTTATCATGAGGTCTAAAACCATAACCAAATTGCTCAGGAAAAAAAAAAAGAGTACACAAATCACCTCTCAAACCATATGAGCCAGAACAATGTGTGGAAGAAGCAGAGTGGATGGAATGTAAGCGAATGTCCAAGTGGGTCAGATACTCAATGAGGCTACACTCTCAACTGGCAATACTGTCAATGATGATCTTAAATAAAAGTCAGTGAAACATACTTAGCTTTTCCTCCCTTAAGTATCAAATTCAACATTGTTATGAACAAAATTATAGTACATGGATCTAGTACATTAATATAAGTTCATAAAGAACAAGAGAACATTCAGCAGTATCTTTTATGCACTTTTTAAGATGTATCTTATTCTATTACATCAAAACGTCATTTCATTATATTTTAGTGACTTAAATACATAATAAAATTTTCAGCCTATAAAAAAGGTGGGAATGCTAATTCAAAAAGTGTCATGAAGTCCTTACTGCCATCATAAAATGTCAGGCACGGTTAAGGATGCTCTATTTACGTGTCTGTCCAGCAAAAATATGAACTCATGAAGGGTAAGAGTCATACTTTCATTATTTATTTAATTATCCCAAATAATACTTCATATACTGTTGGTGTTTAAAATAATGTGCTGATTGAACTAAATTCATACAGAACATTGTGGATGTGGAATTTCAATTAAAAGATGTTATATAAATTGAAAAAAATAAGTTACAGAAGCTCCAGCTAATGATTAGAATATAATGACAGGTAAAAAGTAACAGAAAAACTAAGGAATGAGCCGAAATGTAAACTGGTCTATGTAAATTTCGTGTCTCATGTTTAAAAAGTCTAAAGTATTAGGCAAGGGGACACTGAAATTTCAATTAAGAAAGTAGAAGAAAGTGAACATGAACACTGCTCATTTGGAATTTTTTAAACCTTACATTTTAGTTCTAAGTTTTAGTTCATAAATTCACATATTAACCACATGCATGAATGTATCAAAAGAAGCCATTCTCTTCTAAAACATGAAAGCTATTTAACAGCTGCCTAAACAATCCTTTAACAAAAACTCCTGCATGTAAGTGTAATTCTCAGGGCCAAAGTTGAACAAGTTTGTCTTGGGAACAAAACTAAAAAAGAGAGAACACAAAAGTAATAAAGACAAGAGTTATTACGAAGTCAAGGAATGTTTGTTTAGAACATCACTCATCTCCATCATCTGCCTGATTTAAAATTTTATTATAAAAGATGTCTAACTGCTGTAAATATTTTCCCAGTAAGAAGAGATACTTACTGGATTTAAGTACCCTTTTCTTAAATTTAATTTTTCAATTCATGTACTCTTGTCCTTTAGCCTTTAGAACTTACAAGAATATCCCTAAAGTCTGTAGAAACCCCAAGGAAGATTCTAGGAGAGTACAAAGAGCAGACCTTGCTCCGACTCAAGCCATGAAAGTCATCTTCGTTTCAATTAATTTACTTTGCCTTTATGAACTTGAGACTTTTTCAAGGAGGTTGACATTTCACTCATCTGAAAAAGCTTGGAATGTGACAGGGGAAAGGGAGGAGAAGCAAATCAACGGGGTTAGCAATTTTCCAGATGCAATGTATTTTTCTTCTCTTCTTTTCCACCAGAAATTTTAGAGAGAGCCTTCTGACCTTTTAATTCCCTATGCAAAACCACAGCAGCAAAAATGCTTACAGATTATATGTCAAAAACCAAATACACACATGCACACAAATGTGCACTCGCATGTGCACATGAAGTAAATATAAATTCCAGTTCATTGCTCCTTTAACAGAATACATTTTAGTGCATTTATTAGATGTTCATGTGTACAGTTTAATCAACACAATTTTAATTTAAAAGTAACAACAGGTATTGTAACTTTGTTTTTTTTTCTTGTGCGTGATAACTAAGACACTGAGTCCATGCTGGCTTTCTCACCCAAAAGTTGGCATTTATAAAAACTGTTCTCGTGACTATCTTTTAAACATCACACCGGAATATTTCAGTTATCACCTTTAGACACATGGTTTCAGGAAACTATGCCCAAATATTTCATGCAAATGCTGGTCATTTTAAGGGGTTTTTTTTGCATGAAACAAAAATTCACTAAAACATCTAGGGGTGAAGTAACCTTTGAGACCTGAAGATAAATTCTCCTCAACAGGGCATATGCCCATTTTGTCATGGAGTCAGAGAGGGAGAAATGGCATTTAAGTCCCTGAAATGCTCTGTTTCAATATTTACCTGACAGCTTTGGTATCTTGACATTTTCCCCAGTGCATTTCTTCCTTTATCAGGTATTACTTTACAATAAGGGATTTCTTGTTATACAGAACTAACATAAATCAATTTATAACAGAGGAATTTGTTTCATACATTTATTCTTTTAAGAAGTCGCATGATCGTATTTCACCGACTCATACAATAGAAAAAAAATACTACTAAAACAGAGTTTGTGGAGACTAGTGCATGGTAAACCTATTTAGTCTTCAGAGGTTCATTCTTAGATTTTAATGTTAAATAATAACAACTATTCATTTAAGCTGGTCTCGCTGTATATCCTGACCGTTAGCAATTCCACACACAGCAGCTTATTGTGGTATCCTTTAAATATGAGAAATAAGAATGTTTTACTTTTCCACTTAAAGAAAAACAAGAGTACTGTATGTTACATGGCCCATGAAATATTGGCAGTGTGCTCCTTGGCTTTCATTCGAAGGACTGCAATACTGGAAGACCGCCTTTCAAACTCTGGCTTTGTTTCAAACGCATGTCCATTGGTAGCCCCCGTCAGAAGAGAGTCGGTGAAAAAATTGTTGAGGGGCACGTGGCTGAACTGGTTCTGGTGGTTAGAAAACCCTGTGTAGCTGGAATCTGTCCGAGGCGAGTGAGAATAAGGTGTCACACAGGAGGAGGTATCACGGGGTACCATGCACGAAGTGACCACAGAGCCACCACTCGCATTGCCTGCCCACAGATTGTTCTGAATCTGGAATATATAAAACAACACATATTACATTTATGCATTCTCACTTTTGTTACACTGTATTTACTAAATTTTTAAACTATTCATTGTCTGCTCCTGTTGGGTGGTCTATAATTACATTCTGAGTATGGAAAGCAATTACTGAAATAGAATTATTTGAAAAACCCACAGACTTCACCACATAAAATACTCTCGAAACATGTCAATCCCTTTTTATAGTCATAATTTTTTAAATGAAATCTGGAAAATTTAGTCATGATCCATGACCAATTCATGTGCTAAGAAAAGTGGTCTAAAAGATGGTTTTGAATTTAAATATAGTTTTCATATTTCTAAACAAATGATACAATTTCATTTTTTTTAAGTTCTGTATTGGACTCAGTGTGGCAGTTTTTGTTGGAAACCATTGCTGACATTAGGTTGTTTGCTTTGTAGACATTTTTTATCGAACTCATTTTGGAAAGTGTGCGCCCTTTCGGTGCTTTTTATTTCCTGTCCTCCTGAATACACAGCTCTGTGAATATGAGAAATACATACATGTATGAAACATCTATCTTATGATTTACATGTGATATAGTGAGGTTACAATAGGAGTATGATATGGAATATAAATTTAGGTCTTTAACACATGACCATTACAAAATGATGGAAGCAATTGAAATAAATATTCAAATATTAGCAAAAATATATGGGCATAATGTAAGTACTACATAACAAACGTCACATATAAGATTGAAAACTGGGTTACCATTTGTGCCCCAGAAATTCACACAGCAGATCATTATACAATTTTAAAAATGTATGCCTTTTGCAATGTTATTACAATAGATTCGAAGTGGAACCCAGCAGCAATATACATATTTACTGCATCTGGCTTTTTAAAAAAATCATACTTACAATAGAATTATTAATTACTTCAACACTTACACAAATGATTTTTTAAATATTTATTTTTACACAAAAATTTCAGTCTACTACACATAGCCTTTGGGATAACTTACAACACCCAAGCTTAAATTGTACTTTTAAAAACAACTTATTTCCAATTAAAAGTAGGAAATATATTAGTGACTCTTCTAGATCACACGGGTTGAGGCGTTATTCTGGCACTCAAGGAAGAACCACTTAACCAGTTTCAAAACATAAGAGAAAAATCTGAACATCTAATTTCATCTCTTAGATGGAGCTTCAGCAATTGGCAAAATGTTCACCTGAGTACTATTTTAATAACTTATTTATATGGATATTATATAAGCTGCTTTAAATGTTAAATCCATTGATATATACCTATAAATAGGCATACTTTTATATATAAATTGTATGCATATTTTATTTACCCTTAAATTATCATGCTCTGTGTTGTTTTAATTTTGGCTCACTCTACTCTATGTATCCTATTTTAGCCAAAATTTATAATGACGGGCAGCAGTGACTGCTGAGTTATGCACCTCAAACCAACAGGAGGGGCTGTTGATGTCATTACTCTGTCAAACCAGCTCTTCTAACTTGATTTGGGTGGTTTTCCTCTGACATTCAATCAAACATTGTGCTCCACTGAAAAAACCCACAGTCACATGTCTGAAAAAAGAGCTTTCAGGAAATGAAAGTGAACTTGCTTGCTTATTTTTGAAAAAATAAGTGAAAGACAAACTAGTGGTTCAGAAACATTATTTACATTTTATGTTTGTTAAAGGACTTCTCAATTTATTTATAACTCATTATTAAAATCAGCTACTCATATTCTAAATGCCTAGAAATACATGTATCAACTCGGTAAAAGGGGAAAATAAGGAAAGTAAAGGCAAGGAAGGTAATCTATGGATATAAACTAAGAAAGTATTTTCTCCCTAAAAGAATGGACATTAACTTTCTTATAAGTTTAAAAGAAATTCTCCAGTTTCTAAGACATGGGAAAATGTTATTATTTTGATCAAACTTCTTATCTGGACATAATTAGGCATGTTTAATGTGTTACTTTTGGTGCAAGAATTTCTAACATATAGAAATATTACCTGAACAGAACAAATTGAAAAAGCAAGTTACCTTAGTTAGACTTGGGGAGATACCCACACATCCCCATGGGTAGCAATATTGTCACAAATTTTTACTGATATGTTCTGTTTCCAAGACCTCTGTCTCCCCTCACGCATCCCATGTTTTGTTTTCATTTTAAAATATCTAGTACGTCTTCATTTGACTTTAGGGGTCTAGTTGATTTTTATGTCAAAAGTTGTATGTAAATCACAAACATAATATCCCCAGTGAATTGAGGTTTTCCTTTTTTGAAAAGATTTCCTCTGGATGTTTAAGTATCTCGATTACAATCAAGAAATAAAGAACAAACTGACACTGACCAGGAGGAATGAGGTGGGGATAACAGGGGGGCAAGGGGGAAGGGTCGTCAAAGAACATGTGTAAAGGACCATGGACAAAGCCAAAGGGGGGGTAGGATTGAGGGTGGGAGGTGGGCATCAGTGGGGCAGGGGAGAGCAGAGGGGGAAAAATGGAGACAACTATACTTGAATAACAATAATAAAGAGAGAGAGAAAGAAAAATAGGAAGGAAGGAAGGAAGGAAGGAAGGAAGGAAGGAAGGAAGGAAGGAAGGAAGGAAGGAAGGAAGGAAGGAAGGAAGGAAGATGAGGCTCATGATAGGTTATAATTATTAATTAATTATCATGTGTCAGGCATTATATTAAATGCTTTATGGACTTCTAATTGTTTTAATGTACTATAAGGTGTGAGCTTTCATTATCCCCATTCTGTAGAATGCACACTTACAGCACAGAGAACTTTGAAATCTTACCCAAGGTTGCATAACTGCAATGGTGATCAAATCTGAACCTAGGGAATCTTAACAAATACTATAATAATATAAAAATTACTCTTATGAGTTAAAATTGCTTATTTACTTATTCATAATACTAACACTGTGGGGGTTCTTAGGCTCCACCCTCTGAAAGCAAAATCCTCAGTGATTGCTCAAACTGTTTCTTCATCCTCAGGCCTAACACAACACATAATATGACCTTAATGCAAATTTATTAGGTGATTGAGAAATCTCTAAGACCATGAAATTTGGACAGATCCAGCTTAAAGATGTAATAAAACTTTTATGAACAATCTATGCTAATATATCTAAGTTTTGTTTTATAATTTGAACTCTAGAATCACTATACCATATTTATTATCTTAACAGGAATCATGGAAAATACATGCCTGGACATTCCTGGCTGTATTTCCCTGGGTAATTCTTTTTTCTATTAAATATTTATTCTCCATCATGTATGCATCTTCTTGGGGATTCTGGTTCATTAAGCACAGAGTGTGTGGCTCAGGGGCTTTATATTAAAGTAATAGCTATGATAATAACACATTCACAAAATTCTAAAAACCACCAGGAATTAGGAAACACAGTTAAAGTCCAGCTTCCTTCCATATGCAAAAACCTCTCCTACACTTTTAATTATGTTCACTTCCACTGACAAGAAGCTCACCTGTTTAAAAAGAAAATCCCATACTTTTTTGGAGAGCTGTGTAAAAACGCGAGCTTTTATCATCTTTCTTGACCTATCACTTCTATTTCTCTTCCTCAGAATGACACAGAATAAGTAGCATCTTTGTCCAATGTGGAAAGCTTCAAATACCATAGGCAGTTATTACACAGTTGCAAGTCTCTCTTCTTTAAGTGTCCCTCATGTGCATGGCTTCCATACTGCTCGTTCCAGTCACATTCCTCATGCGTGCCTGAGGGGGCCAACACCCTTCAAATCACCCTCATCGACACCCAGCACTGACAACAGAAGGTCATATTCTAGATGTCATGCGAACACTGTAGGGGAAACCTGGCAGGTATCATCACTGTTCCAGATTACCTACTTCTGTTAATATTTAAAGGCGATATTTAACAACTAAGTTGTTTGATCTTGTGGTTCACTAAATTTGTTACCAAAGTAGGCCCATTCTACATTTCCCCCATGTCTCCCCCAACTGTATTCTTTTTTTTAGTTAATTATTGGTTCAAGTACAGTTTTCTAAGTGATCCTTCTAAAACTATGTGCTAGATTTACAAGTGATATTGTCTAAAATTGTGTGAAAAGCAAAGCCATACAAAAATCTCACTTTGACTCATTGCAAGAAACATTATTGTTTCTGTTAAATTTGGGAATAAAAGAATGCACATTTTTCTCTATAAGATTGCTACTATTTTGCACTATTTCACAGACACCTACAATGGCAGTGCCCAGCACCAAATAAATTTTGGGGTATTTCTATCCTTTTTTAAATGCATAATAGCCAAAGGCTTTACAACCAGAAACAATGTTATTAAAAATCTTTCTTTCATGTGTACTAAAAAAAAAAAGAGACTGACTGCCTTTACACTTTTTTCTTATTTGTGTTTTAAAAGGAGTGAAGAATCTAAAAACACTCCATGTTTTAATGCGCTTTGTGACATTTTTCAAAGTTCTAGGGGTACGTTCAAAGCACTGTCCGAGGAACTCAGCCAATTGCCTCCCATTAGCATGAACAGAAGTTCTGCTGACTTCTATGCTTCACTTTGAACATTTATTTTCCCCTTAATGTTTTCCTAATCAAATAAGAAGTTGAACAACAATTAAAAAAACAATAAAACATCCAAAAAAGAGAAGTTGATGCAATTACCCCATGACTTTGAATTAGGAGAAAAAGGTAGCTTTTGTCTGATTCTTTCCAAACTAAAAGCAAATTCATTTAAGATTCATTTTTCTTCTAAGAAATTAAAAGCTTTAGATAAGGATAAGGTTCATGTATATGTACTATTACATGTACATATAATATATATACATATTATATAATACACAGACATTGAGAATTCTTCACTGTGGATATATATTTGTCATGAATTGAAGTAATATGGTAAACCACAGATGTGGAAATTAGCTTTACCTAGAAACTTCATATAGATATAGTATTTGTATGACCAAAACTACAAAGTAAATGTCAATGTGCTGAATGCAGTGTATA